CTTTTGGAAAAAAAAAAAAAAAAAAAAAAGAAAGTAAGAAAGAAAGAAAGATAAAAAAAAATTGACCCCAACTTTTGAACTGTAGTGTATCAATTGCACAGAAAGCAATCCCAGAATGCATTTTGGTCATATTAATGAAAAATAAACAAACAAACAAACACAGACAGACAGAGAGATAGAGAGATAGACAGACAGACAGAGAGATAGACAGACAGACAGACAGAGAGACAGACAGACAGACAGACAGACAGACAGACAGACAGACAGACAGACAGACAGACAGACAGACAGACAGACAGACAGACAGACAGACATAAAAGATAGATAAAAAAGAGATAAATGTTGGTTATTCATTTTTTATTTCCAGTTTCTTAATTTTAATTTAAATAATTCTTATTTATTTTAACTGTGTAGAGTAAGAGTAAGCATAAAAATATACAGCACACACAAAATTGTCCAACTCTATTTGTATCAGATTGAACTTTTGGTATATATTTTTAAATGTATTTTAATTAGTTTAAACGTCATATATAAAAATATGTACTGAATTAATATATTTTAGTATGCATTAAAATTTGGACCTTTTTAATGGTAGAGTGTGCAATACATTTTGATGCTTTATTTGAGTATTATAGAATAGTTTTAGCAAAATATTAAAGCTAAACTTCACTGAAATTTGTATGAGTTGCTGTTTATGTACAGCAGTCCAAATCAGTCATGTATGAAGTTGCATTTTACTTATGACAATGCCTATGCAGACAACTTACTAGGTTTTGGAACACGACATAACTACATAAGACGCATTCAAAGTCATCCAATTAAAACCACAGCCCAACAACAAACTCCCACGCACATATGTGACATTTCATATATGTGTGCATGGATACGTGGGAGCCACGCCTGTTAATCTAGCGCAGCTGGCCTCTCCGAGCCCTGACCTTCTCGTGTTTCCCCACGCCGCAGTGTGTCGGGGTGATTACAGACTTGACGACTCCCTCACACAATGCTCATCTCTGGCTGGGATCAGCCAACGGCCCATTCTAACTGATCCAACAGCGCTGCTTATCAAAGGTTAAATTTACAAGGCATCTAGAAGGGCTTTATTTCAGCAAAACTGTACAAAGCCTCGCCCTCCGACTTCAAACGTCGCGGCAAGTTTCCAGCAGCAAGTAATTCATCTGTCTGCACTGAAATAAAAAATACTGTAATCTAACATAAACCAAAAATTAGAACGTATCTGAGGTTTAATACACATTTATGTGAAAACACGTCTCTGAAATGAAAAAAATATCCTGTTGCTGAACCGGACTGAAAATGACTTTGCTGAAAAACCTGTTGAACACAATCTACTACATGCCTTCTGTTGTCTCATTAGTAGTTTAAGTAAAACAATAATATTTTTAGTACTGTAAAATCTTTACTGTTTTTTTTTATAAAGTAAATATAAGAATAACTCTCATATTGTTAGTAATATTTCAAGATGAACATTAACTGGACAGAAGCAACTTAGGTTTACTTGATTATCCATACATCAAAAATCATGTTAAAATTTGAGTATCATGCTTTTGAGGAAGGTTTATTTGTTTATCCCTTAATCATCCCTGCATTGCATTATATGTTTTGAAACTACAGAGCTTTGATCATAAAACTAAGCATTTAAATGACATCTTACTAAGACATATTAATGGAAAATATACTGATATTTATGTGCATTTTATGTAAGTATTCTGTTATACTGTTATAAAGATCTCTTTGATTTTCATTACAAGCTATCAGAATTTCACTGGTTTTGACCATATATCAACATCTAAACCAAACTGCATGTTTTTGCTCAGCAATGGTGTTTTTTTTTCTCAATTATGAGCTCCATATTCTCACTATATCATACTATATGAGCCATAAAAGCTTGACGTATCAAATATGATACAACAAAAAAACACATGCAACTTTTTTTGGGGGGGTTGTCTAAAGGTTCAATAAACTGTTCCATTTCATTCAAACTATTATTTCATATGTCAGGTTTCACAGGCTTAACTCGACCAAATGTCACAAGTGCATGGAAAAGACAGCTTTATCTGGTCAGGATCCAACGCAACATCCATGTAGCGATGCACCTCTGGCTGTGGGTGGAAATGTCAAATTGGCCAGATTGGTTTTATAATCGGCGCGCCGACAATCCGGGTTAATCCGCCCAATGCGATGAACCATAAACGACACATTTTTCCAAATAAACACTTGAGTTGGGCAGTAGGCGGTTGACGTATGCTAATTGGCAGCCGTTATCAATGAGGAAATTCAAAGCTGCTTCAGTCATGCACCGTGTTCAGGCCCTCAAAAGAGCGAGATATTCTATCTGGCCGCTGATTCCCTGAACTCCGGCTCATCTGCGGCACCAGCAGTCGCACCTCAGCGATTAGGATCAGAGCCTCTTCCTTTTCCTTTGTGTGCCAGGGCTTTCGTCTTTTAACGCTTTATTTGAATCTAATCAGGGGGAAAGGAGGGAAGCATGTTTTGTCTGTTGAGTATCCTGGAGTGGCAGGAATGCTGGGGGAAAAGGAAGAATTAGAGAGGGGGATGATATACCACCCAGTGCTGAAGGGAACCCATCAACCCTTTCATGCTCATTAACTCATCTCTAAGAGGAAGAGGACTTTGGGAGACGCTGTCTGGCTTGGATGTGTTTATTACGTCCACAGCAGAGCTGAATTGAGAGGGACTTTTAAACTGGAAATTCGGAAGCACACAGGAAGCATAATTCTTAAATTCAAATTTAAAAGTGCAGTGTATCATTTCACAGATAATGACTGTTTTCAGACAGGTTTCCAGTCCGAAACCTACAAATGACTTGTTTACAGTTGTCCATCCATATTAAACTGGCATGTGAAATAGTATTTTACCAGTGAAAAAGATAAACACTTCACTTTTTATGAAAGTAGAATTAAAATTTAAATGAATTCATACACTATCATTCAAAAGTTTGTGGTGAGTAAGATATTAAATGCTCAAATAAATGCTGTTCTTTTGAACTCTGTTAATCAAAGAATCCTTTAAAATGTATCTCAGTTTGCACAAAAATATTATAACATTGATAGTAATGCTCTCGAGTATCAAATCAGCATATTAGAATGATTTCTGAAGGATCATGTGACACTGAAGACTGGAGTAATGATGCTGAAAATTCAGCTTTGCATCACAGGAATAAATTACACTTTGCAATATACACTCTTAAAAATAAAGGTGCTTCAAAAGGTTCTTCAAGCAATGCCATAGAAGAACCATTTTTGGTTCCACAAAGAACCATTCAGTCAAAGGTTCTTTAAAGAACCATATCTTTCTTACCTTTTTATAATCTGAAGAACCTTCTTTCGCCACAAAGAACCTTGAACCATCTCTTTCTTACCTTTTTGTAATCTGAAGAACCTTCTTTCATCCACAAAGAACCTTTTGTGAAACAGAAAGGTTCTTCAGGTGTTAAAGGTTCTTTATGGAACCTTTTAGACAAAAAGGTTCTTCTATGGCATCGTGAAGCACCTTTATTTTTAAGAGTGTACTGCAATAGAAAGCAGTTATTTTAAATTACAATAATATTTTACAATATTACTGATTTTACTGTACTTTTGATCAAATAAATGCAAGTATAAGAGACAAATCTCACTGACCCCAAACTTTTGTACGGTAGTGTATACCGTTTTATTTTTTTAAAAGCCAGTTATAAAAATTGTATTTAATTTAAACATATTCTGTAATATTTCATTTCTTTTCATTTGATGAAAATTAACTGCAAAACCACTTAATTTCCCAGAATGCTATAATTTATTCAAAATGAAATTCCAATTCTACATCCTGTGGTGCATCACCAATTTAATTAAAATTCACTCTCATTATTTAAAAAAAAAAGACAATTCTTAAACTGAGGATTGCTCAGCTCTGGTGCATGACAGTCAATCACAGCACTAAACGAATCAGCTGATTTGACTGAAAACACAACTGACAATGTGACGCATTCAGCTGGCCTTGATACTCACCGACTGGCATGGTTTTCCCATGAATCTTGTCCGCCCAGCCGGCGTAATATCTCAGGGTCTTAATGCTGCCGTCCAGATCGACAAAGAAGGCATGCAGGAAGGGTTTGCCAGTGTCCATTGACTCTAGAGTCTAGAAACAAGAAAGCATATTGTTCAACCAATACTGAGAGCATAAAAGCATAAAGTTATGATTTTATTAGCAATCTGTTTCAAATAGACATTTTTATTGGGCATTTTCGAAAAACATGCTCATTTCGAGAGCTACAAATTTGATACAAAACAACTTTTTTTATGCACGTCAGAGGATGCCAAGATTTTAATGCGCATGGGGAGTTTGTAGGGCCAGAAATTAAACAATAACGCAAATAATAAATTCTGCTGCCCTCTAACAATAAAAACAATGTCAACGTGAAGAAAAAAGTATGTGGGTAAAACCACGGCTGAAGTCATTGGCAGAATTTACACTCATGAGAGCTGAAATATGGGACGCTGCCCATCAGCGCTGGAATGGATCGATTACTGTGCACAAAACAACAAATTATGTTCAAAATGACTTAAAATATGATTACAGTTCTAAAGAATGATCAATCTGACATCTCAAGCTACTGACAGCCTCCCAAAATGAATCATACTAGATTGCTGGGTGTGTTTTGCATTTGAATCTATTTGCGTGGGAAACATCCAAAACTGCATGAGTGTAATTGTGAAATACGCATGTATTACATTTGATCCATCCCTTTTATTCATTAAAAGGCACTATAAATGGCTTAATGACAACAAGGCAGCGCAGTATAAGAAAGAGGGCACTTTAACCCCTCTATCTCCAAATCTGTTCTTTATTTCCCTATGCAGTGCTCGGAGTTGAAATTATACTTCAGAATCCCAGGACATGTTTGCAATTAGCAATCTAAAAACATTACTTCACTCACATCTGTAAAATTTCATTCACAAATGCGGTAACTAATATGACCTGGCAGTAGAACAGGGTGAAAACCAACTCAAGCAAGGCTTTAATTTAGTAAAACTGAAGCATTGTGATACTGTACCGAGAAACGACCAAAGAAAATGACACTTTTTGATCAATAGATAGATAAATTCACACGTTTACTAGAAAACTTGCTTACGACTCAAAAAATTCATGAAAACAAACAAGTTGCTTTCTCAAAAGCATCGAAATCCACATTTTTTGATGTTTTAATTGACAAGACTTCAAAATCAGACCACCGTGTCAATGCTCACACCTGCAGTAGTGTTTGATGAATGCATTCAGACAGGCGTGACAGCTTATGGACACTGCGAGCGTGTGACGTGACTAAAAACAGACCACTGCCATTATTACGAAGCAGCAAGTGTTCAGTTTCATACCACGGTTTTGTGTACAATTCAATGGGCTCATTCTACGATCTGCAACACTTTCAATAGGACAGAAATGTAATTTTGATTGCGCTCAGTTGGTTCATATGTTCTAACTAAGAGATGCCTCTTCATTTTAACAGAGTGATATGATCTGAAGCCTTTTTTAACATTTTGACATCCTGATATAAAGACTGTATTGTTTAAAACAGTGTATCATTATTTATTTTGCATGAACATCTGCACTGAAAAAAATGATTCATGGAATTTACAAAAATTTTTAAGGAAAGTGGTTGCAATCAAATTCTTTTCGCTACATTTAAATAAACAAATTTAGTTGACTAACTTTCAACATATTTTTTTTATTAAATGTAGCTAAAATAAATTGTTTGCAACCACTTACCATAAAAAAATTATCATTTTTTTCAGTGTGTGTGTGTGTATCCTAATTTAGTGGGGTTTTTTTAGTTGTACTGTTGTTGTGTATTATAAATTAGCCTTTTTTCCACAGTTCATGTTCACATGGATGCACAAACAGCACAGGAATTTGGCCTTTAAAGGGGTCATATGATGCGATTTCAAGTTTTCCTTTCTCTTTGGAGTGTCATTGTGGTTTGAAAATACAGCAAAAGTTGGATCCCGCTTTATTTTTTTAATGCAAAAGTTCGTCACTTTACTTGAATGTAGGCTACAAGACTTCCGATTCATTGGCACTATATTTAAATAACTAGAAAGAATCAAAAAATGCAGTATAAACTGTAAACAAAATTTGCGCTACAAGCCAGTGTGTCTTTGATTATGATAATGCATAAAAATAATATGACAACAAATACCAGTTTGCAATATCAAGCAGCAAAACGGACTTTTGTAAAAAAAAAAAAAAAAAAAAAAAAGCTTTACACAAATGAGTAGCGACGCGAATTTAGTGTAGCTAGTCTACGCCGCATGCGCGCGTCGATCTAATTAATCGCGTAAACACAACTCGACCCAGACTCACCGCCAGCACAAAGCGCTCTCGCTCCAGCAGATCCGCGAGTCTGTGCAGTAACCCGCCGCGGCTCGACGCGTCCATCCGCCGCCACTCCGAGCCTCTCTGCCCGGCCGCTTTGGCAGCTTTCACCGCCTCATCCACATCAGCCTGAACAATCACATCAACACTTTACACTCCACTCAACACATCCGAGGTGATTCGATTATTATTAACAACCTTAAAATGAAATTGCAGATTATTTAATTATTTAATAACAAATTATGTCACCTGATCAGATGCATCTTGTATCAGCTGACAAATCATTATATAGTTCAATAACCATATAAATACACATTCTTACATACCTGACAAATCCTTAAATCAGTCTGTATGCATATTAATGGTTTAACTTGCTTAACAATGCAATCTAATTGAATCTAATTTTATTTCAAATTCATACAAGTCATAAATGAATGGCAGATATACATGACTCCCAATTTACTGTACATGTGTATTCATTTTTAATTGGACATCTGATGAGTCAAATTCATCTTACTTTATCCGCCTCCTCGACATCGCAGATTTTGACACCTGTTGCAGGGTTGATTGTAGGAAACGTCTTCCCTTTGATTGCTGTGTGCCATTCGTTATTGATAAAAATCTGCAACAAATACAGTCAGACTACAGTGAAGCCGGTTTCCCATTACAGTTTTGGCTTATCTAGTTCATTAGCTTGTCTGCGAATATGAATAAAAAATAATATAAAATGAATCAATGCAAATGTCTAGTTTAACTTGCCCACAAATATGAATACAAATAATTTAGAATTATTAATAAATGCAAATATCTAGTTCATTAACTTGCTCACAAATATAAATAAAAAATTAAGTAATAAATGTAAATAATTAGCTCATTAACATGTTCACAAATATGAATAAAAAATAATTTAAAATGTGTGAATAAATGTACATTTCTAGTTCGCTATATTGCCCACAAATATGAATAAAAATAATTACAAAATTAAATAATAAATGTAAATACCTTGTTAATTAACTTGCCTACTAATATGACAACATGACTCATTTAAAAACCCTTTAACCCTCTTTATATATATATATATATATATATATATATGTACAGTACTCAAAATATGTTCTTTAAATCAGTGCATTAGTTTTTTTCCGACACTTTTTTATGCACCAGTACAGCTTTTCTAAAGAACTATAAAAAGTTCTTCATGACATCAGTCTCTAAAATGCTTTTTTTTTTTTAAATAGTAACGGCCTAAAGTTTCTTATAAATGTCGTTGATGGTGAAGCCTAAAGGACTAATCAGGACTAAAACTCCACTCGCTCTAGTATTTGTTTGCGATTTAAGGCTGAAGACAAGCTCTTACCTTAGTGTGTTTAATCTCAGGGATTTTCACAGGTTGAGGCAGAGGCGGAGGGCACGCGTTTCGAGCGAGCCCGTTCTCTATAGTCCCGTTCTGTGCCATTGCAGTGCGGTTGCAGTGAAGTGCAATAGAGATGAAGATCACAGATCACTGTTCACTCCATCCAGCACACTTTATAAGAACTTTTAAAGGTCCTCCCACTTCGGGCAAGTGTGCACTCCGCCTACCGTGACAAACACAGTCTCCGTCCCACCTGCCAGTGAATCAGTCTTTCAAACACAAAACATGCTGTTTTCCAGATATGAGTTTCCGTGATGAAGTTTCAGGAGCTCAAACGTGGAAAATAGCTGGGGCTAGGAAGTTTGGGAATGTTTAAGACGCTCGCCTCTGAAACCAAACACGACTGGCTGTGTCTTTATGTCAGGCGCTGGAGGTAATGAGTGTGAATTAATTGTCCGGCAATATTTACATTGCTTTGATCTGCTGGCGGAGCGACAGATTTGAAGCGACGGCGGGCCGGGCATCAGATGGGCCAAGGTGTGATGCGTTCTGATGTTCATCACCACGTTGGTTTTTGCACCTGGGCCTGGTGAAGTTGAGTGGAGTTGAATACGTGCAAACAAATGCTTTTGTTCGGCGGGACAAAGACTTTCCCAGCTTCGGGCTCATACTCGGACACTGTTGCCATTGTTTCCCCTCCATTGCTTCTTGTCACTCTTCTTGTCAAAGTTTAATTAGGACAACGAGCTCTCGCGGGCCCATTTCTCACTTCAGCAGGTTTCTAAACACTTCCTAATGAGGGCAAGGCTCAGAGAAATTGAAAAACGCACTGGGAAGGGAAAGCAGGAAAAGTTGCATTGGAAAAATTCATGCACTAAAAACACACACAAACCGAGATATCCGAGTTGCGAATCACACGAACAGAAAATAGTGCACGCTTTTCTTCATACGCAAATCAATTGCATTTCAAAAACGGCTGACAAATGTGATGCGGGGCGAAATCGTGGGAAAGTGGAGGCAGGTGCCCTCGTCCTCCAAGCTTGGGTGCTCCGGTTAATTGGCGTTCCACACCTTTTAAATGAAGGTCAAGTCTCTTCCCCTCTCCAGGCTTCAACTCCGTTTAGCAGCATTACCCAGCTAATTGTAATGACTGCATCCTCAAAGAAAGCACATGACTCTGCAGACTCTTCCCAAAACAGATCTCAATAGAAAAGCTTCAGCACTGTTGAACTAAAGCGACGCAAGAATACAGAGATTTAGCCACAGAGCACTCGCACTCAAGAAAATAGACACGTCTTATATCATTTAACGTAAGAGGTTTTCTATGGAAACCTCTGACTTTATTCTTGCAGCTGTGAGTTTATATCCCATAATTCTGACTTCTTTTCTCAGAATTGTGAGATGTAAACTCGCAATTCCAAGTTATAAAGTCCGATTTGGAAGACAAAGTCAAGTTTATATCTCACAATTCTGAGAAAATAAGTTTATATCTCACAAATATGACTTTATAACTCGAAATTGCAAGTTTATATTTCACAATTCTGAGACAGTCAGTTTATATCTCACAATTCTGACTTTGTAACGCACAGTTGCGAGTTTATATCACACCACTTTTTTCACTTTCACAAATCTGAGAAAAAAGTCAGAATTGCAAGATAAAAATTCACGATTACCTGCAATTATTTTTTATTCACTGGTGGAAACAAGGTTCCGTGAATTTTTTTTTTTTTAAATGCAACAATATGATTTAACACTCTATTAAAATTTTTTTTCATTCATTCATATTTCATTCATACATTCAGTCATATTTTCATTTGAGCACAGCCCTAACCCGAAGTATTAAGTTAGTGGTAATTTCAGGCCATGGACATGAATGGTACCTCTAACTGTGAGGCTTGTTGAGCGGTTTGCTATTAATTTAAGCCATTGGATTTACATAAGCCGTTGGTTTTGATCATTCGTTCACTTGGTGGTTGATAAAATGGGCAAAAAATGATACAAAGGAACCAGGCCATAAGGGTCCAGAAAGCGATAGAGACTCTTGGATGGGCTATTTTGACTTGGTCCAGTAAGCAAAAACTTAGCAACCATCCAGAACACCCTAGCAACTGCATAGAAACACTTTGGCAACCACCCAGAACGCACTAGCACTGAGGTGGAGAGTTTTGCATGAACAAGCACCACTCACATTTTCTTCAGAAAATATGAAAATATATGTAGGCCTAAATATCAAGTTAATTACAAATATGACTAAAAAGGAGTACAAATTAACTTAATAAATGAAATATCTATTTAAATAACATGTTAATTAATGTATATATCTAGTTTAGTATAGTATATCTATATGAACCATTAAATGTATCTAGTTCATTAACTTGTCCACAAATATGAATAGAAAAGAAGTCATTATTTAATCAATATAAATATCAATTTGATTAACTTGCCCACAAACATGAATAACAAATGTGTGGAAATGATTTAGAAATGTAAATATCTAGTTCATTAATCTGTCCACAAAAATGAATAAATAATCAATGTAAATATCTAGTTCATTAATTTACCCCCAAATTAATAAGTACAAGTCAATTAATAAATGCAAATATCTAGTTCATTAACTTGTCCACAAATAAGAATAACAAATAATAACAACAACAACAATACTACTACTACTACTACTATTATTATTAATAATGCAAATATCTAGTTCATTAACTTGTCCACAAATAAGAATAACAAATAATAACAACAACAACAATACTACTACTACTACTACTATTATTATTAATAATGCAAATATCTAGTTCATTAACTTGTCCACAAATAAGAATAACAAATAATAACAACAACAACAATACTACTACTACTACTACTATTATTATTAATAATGCAAATATCTAGTTCATTAACTTGTCCACAAATAAGAATAACAAATAATAACAACAACAACAATACTACTACTACTACTACTATTATTATTAATAATGCAAATATCTAGTTCATTAACTTGTCCACAAATAAGAATAACAAATAATAACAACAACAACAATACTACTACTACTACTACTATTATTATTAATAATGCAAATATCTAGTTCATTAACTTGTCCACAAATAAGAATAACAAATAATAACAACAACAACAATACTACTACTACTACTACTATTATTATTAATAATGCAAATATCTAGTTCATTAACTTATCCACAAATAAGAATAACAAACAACAACAACAATACTACTTATACTACTACTATTATTATTAATAATGCAAATATCTAGTTCATTAACTTATCCACAAATAAGAATAACAAATAATAACAACAATACTACTCCTGCTACTACTACTACTATTATTATTAATAATGCAAATATCTAGTTCATTAACTTATCCACAAATAAGAATAACAAATAATAACAACAATACTACTCCTGCTACTACTACTACTATTATTATTAATAATGCAAATATCTAGTTCATTAACTTATCCACAAATAAGAATAACAAATAATAACAACAATACTACTCCTGCTACTACTACTACTATTATTATTAATAATGCAAATATCTAGTTCATTAACTTATCCACAAATAAGAATAACAAATAATAACAACAATACTACTCCTGCTACTACTACTACTATTATTATTAATAATGCAAATATCTAGTTCATTAACTTATCCACAAATAAGAATAACAAATAATAACAACAATACTACTCCTGCTACTACTACTACTATTATTATTAATAATGCAAATATCTAGTTCATTAACTTATCCACAAATAAGAATAACAAATAATAACAACAATACTACTCCTGCTACTACTACTACTATTATTATTAATAATGCAAATATCTAGTTCATTAACTTATCCACAAATAAGAATAACAAATAATAACAACAATACTACTCCTGCTACTACTACTACTATTATTATTAATAATGCAAATATCTAGTTCATTAACTTATCCACAAATAAGAATAACAAATAATAACAACAATACTACTCCTGCTACTACTACTACTATTATTATTAATAATGCAAATATCTAGTTCATTAACTTATCCACAAATAAGAATAACAAATAATAACAACAATACTACTCCTGCTACTACTACTACTATTATTATTAATAATGCAAATATCTAGTTCATTAACTTATCCACAAATAAGAATAACAAATAATAACAACAATACTACTCCTGCTACTACTACTACTATTATTATTAATAATGCAAATATCTAGTTCATTAACTTCTCCACAAATAAGAATAACAAATAATAACAACAATACTACTACTACTACTACTACTACTATTATTATTATTATTATTATTATTATTATTATTAATAATAATAATGCAAATATCTAGTTCATTAACTTATCCACAAATAAGAATAACAAACAACAACAACAACAATACTACTACTACTACTACTATTATTATTAATAATGCAAATATCTAGTTCATTAACTTATCCACAAATAAGAATAACAAACAACAACAACAACAATACTACTACTACTACTACTATTATTATTAATAATGCAAATATCTAGTTCATTAACTTATCCACAAATAAGAATAACAAACAACAACAACAACAATACTACTACTACTACTACTATTATTATTAATAATGCAAATATCTAGTTCATTAACTTATCCACAAATAAGAATAACAAACAACAACAACAACAATACTACTACTACTACTACTATTATTATTAATAATGCAAATATCTAGTTCATTAACTTATCCACAAATAAGAATAACAAACAACAACAACAACAATACTACTACTACTACTACTATTATTATTAATAATGCAAATATCTAGTTCATTAACTTATCCACAAATAAGAATAACAAACAACAACAACAACAATACTACTACTACTACTACTATTATTATTAATAATGCAAATATCTAGTTCATTAACTTATCCACAAATAAGAATAACAAACAACAACAACAACAATACTACTACTACTACTACTATTATTATTAATAATGCAAATATCTAGTTCATTAACTTATCCACAAATAAGAATAACAAACAACAACAACAACAATACTACTACTACTACTACTATTATTATTAATAATGCAAATATCTAGTTCATTAACTTATCCACAAATAAGAATAA